CGCGAAAGTCTCAAACTGACGGAAGGCTACGACGCAAAAACTTTCCTACCAGAAACGTTTTTCTCGCTCTCTCAGCAAAAAAGTACAACCAGTGTGCAAATCAAATCCACAAGATCAATTGCGGACGCCGCGTTTCAACGCGCTCACAAACGTAGTCCATCCAGGGTTTTCAACAACATCCACGCCAAGAGAAAACAAAGAGCCCTTCGCAGAAACCGTTTAAAACCCGTTTCCGACGCACCGACCTCCCAGCGGCGTTCAGCGTGCGAAAGATTTTTGAGATTTTCACAAACGGTTCACCTCGAGATTTGTTTTCTATGCAGTGTGTCGAGAAACCGAAGGAGGACATCACCGTCGTCAGCGCACGCGTGCATTGCACACTCGTGCATTTGCTTTTTTTCTATGTAATTGCCCCCCGAACACAAAAAAAAACAAAAAAAAAGACAAAAAACTCAACGTATAAAGTGGCCCAAGTCACCAGGCTCGATCTAAAATGGACCGTAAAAATCGACGCCTGCATGTAGCAATCTAAACGTTTCGTGAAAGGTGGTAAATCACAGGTCGGTCTTTTTCTTGTAAAATTACAAAGCGTAGTTTTTTTTTCTGTAAAAAATAAGGCCAAGAAACTTGCCATGGTCTACGGCGGGCAGCGACGCAGACGACTCGGGTTCAGTAGCGGGGTGTGTTTGGCGTTCGTATTGATAGATGGCGTCGGGAGCAGCGTCGGAAGGTGCAGCCGACTAGCGAAAGAAAGCAGACGACACGCACACGAAATCCGTTGGCAGCAAAAGAGCCCGTTGCTATGCAGACGCCATTTTGTTTTTTACTTATATTTTGTATTTTATTGGCCGCATTTGTGTTTTCTTAAGCGAAAATCGATTTCAAAAAGATTATGTTAATTTTATCAAACCACGGTGGGTCGCGAGCCGTCGCGATAAGGAGGTAGCGCCATCTATCAAACGAACATCAAACACACCCCGCTGCTGAACCCTTGTCGGACAGCCGTCGCTACCCGCCGTTGGCCCTGGCAAGTTTCTTGACCTTATTTTTTACAGAAAGAAAGCTACGCATTGTAATTTTACAAAAAAAAAAAAAAAAACCGACATGCGAAGTACATCTTTGAAGAAAAGGTTAGATTGCTACGTGCAGGCGTCGATTTTTACGGTTCATTTTAGATCGAGCCTGGTGACTTGGACCACCCTATATAAACTGCCTGCTGCCCACTATCCGACACAGTCAAAACTAGGTAGACAAAAATCACCTCTCTTGATATATTTTCCGAACCTCACACAGACGAAGCCACGGGAAAGCCCGAGGCCGCAATGTGCGTTCAAAGAGCAAGTGCTTCAGTGTGTCCCTGCAATTCGCACAGAGTCTCGCAGCTGGCTGCATTCTTCATCGACCTGAGAACGGAGTGATCCACCGCTGAGGGTCGTGTAATTTTTTTTGGTATTTTAATTTGTACGCCTATTTTTTAATAAGGGCGATCCTCAAGAAGAGAAGGGGTCGATGCGCCATTTTGTAACCCGGGGATTGTCCCGGTGCACTTGACTTTCCCCTAAATTGAGGCAGAAGAGGTCTCCCGGTGGGCGCACCATCGAAAGTAACCGAGGCCACCCCAAAAAAAAGGCACATCCGAACCACAGTTTGTTGTTTGTGAAGTCCCGACGGCGTCCAAGCTTGGTCGGGTCAGTTCGAGAGAATTGGTCATCGAAAAAGTGCATCCTCGTCCAAGAGGGAAAACGACTCCTAACGATGCGATGATTCGGTAATGATCCTTCCGCAGGTTCACCTGCGAAAACCTTGTTACGTCTTTTACTTCCTCTAAATGATCAAGTTTCGTCATATTTCCAACACACCGGCGCAACCAAAAGGCCTGTTCGTGTATCGGTCCGAAGACTTCACTAAATCATTCAATCGGTAGTAGCGACAAGCTGTGTGTACAAAGGGCAGGGACGTAATCATGCCTATGACTCGCGCATACTGGAAATGATGACGCTCGCTTCACGCACCTCACCGTCTACCATAAGCTTAACTTTGTCGACGCAAACATTGGTGCGCACACCCAATACGGTGCATTGCACCTGGGCCTACGTCAAAAACTCTCTTCCATCTGGACGGCGCGAGAGCCACCATTTCACTGGTCACATTGCAAAGTTCATGTTTTGGAGGAGAGACAAGGCGCGCGGAAAACACTGATAGATTCCAGTCGTTCGTCGCCGCGGCCGCCAAAATCTAGAGCCCCGACGCAGACAGGGCCAGGATTCTGACGGCCCCGGTGACTTCGAGGGATCCGCTGCGCTGAGCCCGTCACCCGCCTGCATGCATAAAGACGACTTATGCGCCAACCGCTCGTCAAGTGCTCGTTACGTCAGTTATAGGTTCTGGTTAGCGGTCTACAACGGTCCTTTTTCAGGGCCCCCCATATTTTGCAAAACGGAGCTGTGTTTTTAATGCGGCACCCCGTGTCTCTGTAAAAAGTTCACAGGAAAGACCCAGCAAAGGTATGTGGTCCCCAGCTGGGGACCACATACCTTTGCACATACCTTCGCCACCAATCATGGTCTGAATGCTTAAAGACAGCATTTACCACAATCTCCCGACAAAGGCTCGCCCAATCAGTTATTGTCTTACTTGTGATATCAGCCTCCGCTGAATGACGGCGCACGGTAGGTTCAGGCATCCGGAGGATGATTTTCACGAGTTGGAGAAGCGTCAGGTGGGCGATCCTTCGAAAAAAGGAACCGCTCGGTACAGAGAACTCGCCCCGGCACTGAAACTTTGACCGGCTTCCTCCTGGGCACGTCACAAGTCATCCACACGCACCGCACCCACACCCCCCCCCCCCCCCCCCCCCCCCCCCCCCCCCCCCCCCCCCCCGGGTAGCCATCCGCAGATCTAGCGCGGACTTGCAGCTTGTCATCGCCGCTTCGCACTCTGGACACGCACGAAAACCCAGGAGCCAGGAGCAGGCCAATGCGCTAAAGCAAATTAATTGCTTTCAAGAGGGTCTTTCATGGCGCCATGAAGACGGCACAAGTTTAACGCCATGGCACTGCGTTGCTCGCCTCTGGAAGAATAAAGCGCCGATGGGGAACTGCGCGCTTCTTTGCATTTATTATTTTTATTTCATCCGCCATTTTATACCTCGTGACACAATTCTAAACAAACTCATTGGTTGAACGGTCGGACCACACCATCGCGTGACAAAACAAACGCCAAACCAGAGTCCTGCCAAACGTATGTCCACAGACGGCATCGTCACAGAGAAGAGAGCAGTCGAACCCTAACAACAAAATAAAGTAACATAGTGAAAGTAAATATGATTCATATTTACTTTCAGTTTCAGTCAGGAAAAAGGAGTTTCGCGGGAACTAGAGCCAATAAATGAGCTGCGCTTAGAGTATCGGCACTCTCTTCCCCGACAGTGTTGCGAACGCCGCCATTTTGTTGCTTGTGCAGAGCAGGCGCAACTGCCGATCGTCATGATTCAAAAGTGCGACATCCTCAGCATTAGATTCGGTGTTAGGACGTTCTTGTAATGTTGCTTTGCTTTGTCAAAAATTGTTTAAAGTGGAGGACGGAAAAGCGTTTCTTGTGATTCCAGATAAAGCTTTAAATAACTGGCAACCATGATTTTAAGCCACAATAAGGCCAAGTGTCGCTACTCTGAAGCGTAGCTTATTTAATGACACTATTCATGCTCTTGTTCAAGAGGCTTGTAATACCTGGAGGGGCTATGACGTAAGCCCCGTGGATTCCACAAGCCACTTTTCACACCTGCCTCTTCTTCATTGTTCCCGCTTGTGCCAGTAAATTAGCTGTGGTTCCGAGTAACGACACTTGGCTTAAAATTGTGGCTTAAAGTCATGGTTGCCAGTTATATGGAGCTTTATCTAAGATCACAGGAAACGCTTTTCCGTCCCTCACAAATGTTTAAACAACCCGCGACAGAGCATTTCAATATTGCAACAGCTTCCTAGCACCGCATCTAATGCTGAGGAAGTCGTACTTTTGGATCATGATGATCGGCAGTTGCGTTTGCTCTGAGCAAGACCCAAAATGGCGGCGCCCAAACCAATTTTTGGGGAACTGAGTGCCGATACTTTAAAGCTCATGTAGTGACTCTAGGCATAAAGTGAACTCGGGTTATTATTTTCCTCTTCGTCTTTATTGTTTATTGATTTCAATCATATCGAATAATGAACGCATTATATCACGCTACGCTTGTGTAATTGTTTGTCTTAGATTTATTAGCCTGACCCAGTACTTAAACCATTCATTTATCGATAGTAAATCTTCCAATATATTTTTAAATGTGAAGGTAAAAAGACACGGAGATTGATGATGATACAGACGCCAACGCCGCCCTCGGAAATTTTTTGAACACTAGAAATCAGCAGTTTATTTGCCATCCGCCAGGTAGCGCAACGAAACACCCAAACAGTTTTTAATTGTTTTTAAAATTAGCTAAGCTCTACACCTATTAAGAAACCAAAGCAATATCATTGTGAAAATTTAATACATCGCAATGTATATCTATTCCAGACAATAAATGTTATTAAATGCCAATAAATATGTTTGATGTCCAAAACAGATATGCGTCAAAAACAGGTAAGTTTGAAGGGCTGGAGCGTTATGACTTTGAAAATGAAAAAAAGCCATCGTCCACCTCTTGGGCAACCATTGTAGCTCTAAATGTTATAAAAGATTTTATCATAGTTTAAATATTTCTTCAGCGGCATTTGAACTACCATGACTCGAGGCACAAAAAAGTGTTCTGTTTGATATAAAATATCTAAACAAAAACATTTTACACAACATAAAATTTTTTTTGCATATTACCAATTAAAAGCACTACATCTGTAGTTAATTTCATTGCCCTAGCGTTTGTCGTTAAAAACATATTTGTGCAGAAAAATGTCAATTTTAGGGCAATATTTGGAGGGATGAAAAAAACAAAGTAGTGCAAATACCAAAAAAGTGTATCGTTAGATTCTGCTCCGACATCATCTTAACAAAACTGCTACATTGGAACCGTGCTATCTTTAATGGATCGTTCATAAAACATGAACTAGCGGAGCAAGTGAGGGTCCGGGCCATCATATTCGCAACGCTACAAATGCGCATGAACAGTAAAAACCAACACATACATAATATCAAATGAAAGAGGATTTCATTTCCTTTCGAATGACATCAATCCCACGAAACAGTATTTAAAAGGAGATGAGTGATGGCCTGCCAAAAAGTACCTAAACTGCCACATTCAGTATCTTGTAAGGTTTTAAACATTCATTTCCCATAGTTTTAAGATGGAACTACCTACTATAGGTCTTTTCAGTATTGCCTTTAACTTACCTTGTGTTTGACACACTATGGCCTTAGTTGCCGCTGTGCCATTAAACACCTAATTTTCTCTTCTCCAAACACACCCAGGTGACTGGTGAGCGACCGAAAAAATCCGCCTGGTCCGGGTGTCGAACCCGAGACCTCTTCTTTACAGGTGGAGCGCGCTACCAACTGAGCTAACCAGGGGCTAGGCGTCAGTAGAGCAAACGGGTTTTATCAGCTGCCACCACCAACAAGGGTGAAGTTTGCAATTTAAAGGGCAACTCCGCTCAATTTTTGCTACTGAGAAAACAATGTAATTCTATTCAGTATAATCTAGAAAGGCTACAAGTCAAATATTGGAATTGAATTCCGTATAAAAAAGTTGTACAAGCGCGAAAATAACAATGTCGGCTAACTATAGCGGGAACGTGCGGCGCAGCCAACACTGCACTTCCGCCGATCTGCTTCCGCCGCTTCCACCGTCAGCACCGTCAGTGTGTTTTCTTCGTTTCGAGGTACAGATCACACAGGCGGCGCCACGCTCGCCGCCTCCGGCGGTCACTCTGCCCTCTGCCTGTACCAACTATTGTGACTCCACCTACTCTACCTCGGCGGCGGTGTCCACGTGATCTGCGAGCGAACGCGGAGGCTCCGGTTGCGTCTTTGCTGTTGTGCTGGTTGTGCCGTGTTCATCTTTCGTTGTTTCGCGTTTTATTTAGGCAAGAGGCGCGTAGATTTGTTCCTGGTGTGCCTTTGCAATGGCTGGCAGAAAGCGCAAAGGCAGAGGCTCACGTTGTTGTGTCGCTGGCTGCCCAAACTACCAGCTAAACAACCCAGGAGTCCTCTCTTCCACAGGTTTCCTGGCGACATTGAACGGCGGAAACTTTGGACGGACGCCCTGTGCCTATGAACCCCGAGAAGCCCTTGTCGCCAACTGCCAGGATATTGATATCTTCCGATCACTTCTTGCCCGAATGTTACGAGCGAAATATGCGCGTGTTAGCTGACTGCGGCTTCTCGACGAAGTACGCGAAGCTGAAGCCGGACGCCGTGCCGTCGATCTTCGCACGCAGCACGGCTTCCCCGACAGCAGACGGCTCAGC